ATATATATAAAATAAAACATTCTTTCTAGATTATTATTGAGTTGTTACGGAAGTAAAGGGCAATAGTAGTAAAGTCAATTGAAGTCTTTATTATACTCGTACAAAAGAAAAGATTATATTTTATTTAGAGTTACAGATACGTTATAGTAGTTTTAGGAAATAAAACGTGAGAGCGATAAAAACATAAAGAAACAAGTGAGGTTATTATAAGTAATAAATGTAAAACAAGTTGTCCAACCAATATATTGGTGATATTATAAAGTTTTTTAAGTCAGTTACTATGATCTCCACAGTTATGTCATATAATATTGCTTCTCGAAATATTATATGATGAGAATGCAAAATCATAAATGAATCGTCTGACTTCAATGAACTTGAGATATACATTAGCATCCCATTGAAATAATAATGGTACTTCCAAATAATGTAAATACTTTTAAAGTAAGCAGTACATAATAAGTCTTACAAATTAAAAAAGTGCATAATATTTCACTAGATTTCAGTTTAGTTCTTTATTGTCCATATTTATAACTAGTATAACTAATTATAGATATGGGTAATGAAGAAATAAAAATATTTCTTATATCGCATACTTTGACACGACAATCACTAACTTGCGTTTAAATGTACGAATGCGGGTTCATTCGCTTCCTCACGGATGCGTACACATATCAAATAATTAATTCTTTGCTGTTCCTCTGTGACCTTCACGTGTGTTCTCCTTTTGGTTATTTATAGACCGCGTTTTAGCGGCATTATCAACGATAACACATTTTAGCAGTATTATCAGTGATAACGAATATGAGCTAGCTGTATCTACGTATAGTCAAGTATAACGCGCGTGAACATCCGCGCGCTTTAATGTTTACCACATTAATGTGATATGAATATAGGTACTGCACACAGACGTGTATGCACCATTTCGTTAACAATATCGCTAAAACGTGGTTTATAAATAACCAAGAGAGCACACGCGAAGGTCGCAGAGGACCATCAAAAGAATTAGTTGTTCCGTGCGTGTGTGTTGAAGCAAATGAATCATTCGTACGCGCGACATTTGAACTCAGATTGATTATTGTTTTAATTGTTACTCAAAGCATCCGATAAGAAATAAGTATTTTATTTCTTTATTGCCCATATCTTTAATAAATTACAGATACGAGCAATAAAAAACTAACTAAACTTAAATCTATTAAATATTGAAATATTATGCACATTTTTTTAAATCTATAAGATTTGCGTATTGCTCTTAAAAATATTTATATGGAAGTGTCATCGTTATTTTAATAGAATATCTGTATCTTGTCACGAGTTCGTATCGAGGTTAAACGATTCATTTATGATTTTGTATTCACACCGCCTAATTTATTAAGAAGCGATATTATATGACACACCAAAGATTGTTTTGTTTTCTAATGTGGAATGTTTCCCTTATGTCTAATTTTTTGAAAACTTTCGTTGATCGTTCATATTAAATCGGTAATAGCATTTCGATTGTCTCGGCAAAAATCTCTAAAATATTTGGCATTTAAGAATTATATATTCAGTGAAAATGTAAGGAATATTTTTATTTTACAAATAAGAAAATAGAAATCTATTCTGAATACCAGATACATATACGTATGGCGCGTGATGAGTTAGACGAAGCCAATGTTAAATGTGACTGTACCATGATGATTCGAAATGTCAAATTGAAATATTGTGCGTGTATTTATTATTTAAAAATTAATAAATTTAATGTTATATTAAGGACTTTCCCTCTCGTGGAAAATCTCATTTTTTTAATTATCTTTAATTTTTTCGGATAACTTTGTGTTATTCGAACAAATTAAAGATTTTATTCATGCTCAGTATGAATAAAAAATATGGATAACATCAAAATCTGATTATCGGATCATATTTAATGACAATGAAAATATAGTAACGTCATATTATATAATAACAGATCTGCAATAATAATAATAATAATAATAATAATGATAATGAGGCTAATGATGATGACAATGATAATAATAATAATAATGATAATGAGGCTAATGATGATGACAATGATAATAATAATAATAATAATAATAATAATAATAATAATGATAATGAGGCTAATGATGATGACAATGATAATAATAATAATAATAAATTATTGTTATGTTTTTCATTTTCATTGTTCATGTTTTTTTTATTTCTTTTCCGAAAGGATTGCAAAGTACGCCATTATACATTTATGACATACAACACATTAAAGTAAAAAAATATAACGGGGTATTTTTTATTTATTATTAATCAATGATTATTTATACACACGTGTGTATATTCGGTATTATCAACGGGACGGGAGCCAAGCAGGGCATATGGTGACATCCTTTTGGACGAACCGCACGCGATATTAATATAACATTTTCATTCGCGAGAGAGTCGCATCGCTCTCTTTACGTCGCACATGCAAGTTTAACGTAGTATGAGTCATGTATTGGGATGCAAGAAGAGTCCGTCTTGACGATCTTATATTAGTTAGTCATTCTGTTTTGTACAGCCGGCGGTGTCATGGCGGGCTCCGTTGCCACTCTGGCGATCCTTTGGATGTCTCTGCAGACGATGGGACTTTTGAGTCATTCTCATTCGATCAGCACTTATAAGTTGCCTGAATCTCTACAGAATTATCTTGCCAGTTACACTGGTAAGTATCTACCTTTCAAACAGATGAAATGGTCTAAATTTCACGACATAAAATATGGAAAGTCGAGGGAAGGAAGTTATTAGCGATTCATCTTCCATAAATAGTTCCATAAAGATTTGGGAAAAATATTGCGATTATAATCATGTCGTGTCAAATTGCGTTTTAAGCATTACATTATACGTTACATCGTTCTGTATCATTTATCCTGTAAAGCTGTATGTTTTCGAAAAAATAAATTTATTTATATTTTAACATAATTTTGTCTAACATCTATTTTTGGTTTCGAGTCGATTTAGCAATATTTGGAAACAGTTCAGGTATGTTGTCAAAATTGACTGGTCTATTTTCGAAACGAAGGCTTAGGTTAAATCAGGACTTATACTTCGACAATTTAATTAAAGAATATTTTTATATATTGCAGCCGTCCTTGTTTTAAATTAAACAGCATCATTTACTATTCCGAAATATTTTAAATAAGTACTTTCAGGATTGCCATCCAATTATGGTTCTGAAGCCATCGTGGATACCGGTCGTTTTCAAAATCGAAGATTTCCCAAAATCGATGGGACAACTCTGAACAACTCGATCGCGTTTGCGCAAATGTTAATCGATCGCATGAGCACCCTTGAGAACAATATCGCGAACGCCGGAGTTGAACTCAAGACACGCAGTCCGGCCGAGAAACAATTTTGGAATTCTTATCCTTCTGCGGATGCTGTCGACAGGAGCATCGATGCCATTGTGGCAACGAAGGCATCATCGTATCTCGTGCACCAAAACTGTCGAAGGTACGTTTTCGAATAGATAAAATCAAACTTAAAATTACTTTTTTGTTCAAATTATTACCTTGAACTATCTCATTATTACTTATCAAAATCTGATATTTTACTTAAATCATCGTGTATATAATATATATCTTATAATATATCACTTTTTTTGTGTGATTAATATATCACACACATGCTTACTTTAAAAATAATACAACTGAAAAAATTAAATTTCCCAGAAAAGAGGAAAAATGATTTTTCAACTTAACAGAAAATGATCCAAGCAAAACAATAGCAATGACGCGATAATATCAAAGATATTGAAATAAATCATGACTGATCAAAAACTAAAAAATTAACTTTTATTCGAAGAATTATTTTAGATGTCATTTTGATGTCGTTTTTTTGTTTTGCTTAAAGGTATTAATAACTAATTAAGTAATATCAAAATACATATACATACTTAATATGATTATATATCTTTTTGTCGTTTTCATTTTATAATCTTTTAAAGATTTCTAATCTTATTAATCTTTTAAAGATTAATAATAAAATGCGTTTTTAAATTGTGATGATTTTGACGAGTTTTTTTCTAAACCATTTTTTTAAAGTTTTTTATTATTTTTATGAAGTTAAGTTAGTTGACTTAAGATTGTTAGGATAATGTTTCCTTAGCCCATTCACGCAATAATATAATAACTCTAAAATTACGTTTCTTAAATCGTTACATCACTTTTAAAGTAATAGGAGGACCAGCCATTTACACTAATAATTCGCTATATCAATCGATATTAGCTAGCTATTGCTGTTACGTGATCATTGATTTTTGAATCGGCGCTCTTTGATTAAAAGCTAAAATTCAATCGATGTCTGATTGCGCTATTGATTTTATCGCAGATTTGGCTTAGATAAAAACGACTGTGCTCGCTACATATCGACGTTAGGCTTGCGTGATACTCCGCTTGGTAAATCTTGTGCGGCGGTGCATAGCATAGAATGCGATGAGAAGTCCAAATACCGCAGTATTGACGGCACTTGTAATAATATTGAAAATCCGAGCTGGGGCAGCGCGATGACTGCGTACACCAGAGTGCTATTCTCTCAATACTTCGACGGTAAGTGTCATCTCCGATTGTGTCGCGCCTCCCTCTTTCTCTAGCCTACTACTCCCGGATTTATCAACTGCATTTAGCTCGCGATATGACATCGCTCTCATCACTCGACTCGTCCAGGCTTGAATTGCATCCCGACGGTACGTCGCTATATTAGGAAAATAATTACTGATCGCGCGTCATCATATTTTCGACCCAGTCGCGGATCGTAAACAGTCTTCGCGCGCAAATCAACCCCCTTTTCTCCCCTCCGAATTTTGCATTTTGCAAAAAAAATTTCGTATAATAGAGCGATTTGTTGAAAACGCGCGCTTTCTTCTCGTAAAGTTTTTGTTGTTAAATTTGTATGGAATAATAATCGTACAATTATTTGCAGCCTCTGAACGTTTGGCGCTTCCCTCTTTCTCTCTCAATTTCCGATCCAATACTCATCCTAATCCTCGGAGAAAGATTTCTCTTATATAATAGAATCAGTTCTGAACAAAATGAATCTTTTTCTAGATAAAATAAGTTATAAACATATGTCAGTTGTTCAAACAGTGTCAGGAAGTAATGACGACAGCATGTTATAATGCACAATGTAAAAAATTGTAAGATTGCGACCATTATAGGAGAATACAATTTTCATCTTAATTACGCGGACGAGAATTTAGCGCTTATATGTTACGACAATAACTGGTATTTGCTGAATGTTATTATTTCATGCGATGTTTGTCGCAATTGCATATCTATTAGATACCATGTGTGTAGAAGATGTAGCGATGGGAATGCGTCATCGGATAAATGATACCTACTTATGGCGATAAAAGTTTGAACCGGTTAGTCATAGGCAAAACTTTTTGTTTGTAAAAATAATAAGGTGCAAAAACATAATGATAATGATGAACTACGCGTTACTGGCTTGGACAATTGCAGTCGAACGATAATAAATACATGTGTCATACCGTATTCCCCCGCATGAGGGGGAAACGCATGAGATAAAGAAAAATGATTAGTTTGTTTGGGCCACTCGAGTCAGATAAGAATTCCGGCATTATTGTATCCTCTTTCTGCATATTCGCAAAATTCTCGAGCTTCTCGTTACATGGAACAAAAAAATTCTCTCAACAACACATTGCATTCCTCACGTTACATCAATATGCCTCTCGTGTTAATATGTCACACTAGCTTCTGCGATTTTACACGCTCACCTCGAAATGTAGTGAATTTATAGAAGCACCTTTGGACTTTTAAAATTCATCAAGATTAAGTGTTTTGTTAACACATATTTTAACTCTAGAAATACGGATCAATTCGATATCTATATACAAAGTAGCGCATGAAATGTTAACGAAGCGATTAATTACCCAATTTTCAGGCTTGGTAAACTTCATATCAGTTCTGTACCAATTTTCCTAAAAAATAAAATGTTATATTTAAACCAAGTGGTATTACATTTTAAAAAATTAGTCGGATATATAAATAAGAATTGTAGCAAATTATATATACACAATCAATCATAATATAATCACTTTGTATTCTAGAGTTAAATGCTGATTATTATTACAAGTCAGGGATTATCATTATTTCTCTATATCTCTCTCTTCTGTTTTTAATATAGTATTAAAACTATAATAAAATGTCGAACTCACTCAAAATATTAAAATCGAGTGTATAAATATGAGATAAAAGATATATTAGTATATTTTATCAAAGATATCAAATGAAGCTGGAAAGATTTGACATTTTACAAATATTATATGTAAAATAGAATATAGTATGTATAGAATATATGTATGTATAAATACTATTTCAGTCATATCATGCTCATAAGAAATAAATGTT